GTCCAAGGCGCTCATCCTCCTGAAAATCCGTCTCGGGTCTTTCATTATCCGACTGACGGGAGCTGGTATCGCTTAGGAGAATTGATCCGACCCCACTCACAAGACCTCCAACTAAGCCTCCGAGGGATCCACCGCCCGCAGCCTCTGCCGCAATCTTACCAAGCCCGCTGGTGCTCGGCTTATAACTCTCCTCGGGGCTAGTTTTACCCCTATGAAGTGTTAGAGGCTTACCGCATCCATGTCCTGAATCATGCACGCCTTCTTTGTGATTCTTGCCCTCACGAACACCCTCCCGAGAGAGCTGTTCCCGAAGGCTCTCCTGTTCCGCCTCATCTTTTCTGCCCCACCACTCCTCGACAGTGTTGAACATGATTTGACGTATATCAGATGCTCCGTCCTCGCCATATTGACGTAAAGCCGGATGATGAAAGACGCCGGTGATGATCCGGTCTAGTGTCCTGTCTACATCAATGTTTTCATCGTCCCAGCACTCCATCAGCTGAGGCACTGTCCATTTCACAACTCGAGAGGCAATCTGGCCAGCCGGTTCGTTCAGGACGTTCGAGAAATGATCTTTGGAGAGCATCGAGTGGGTGGGGTTTGAGGAGTCATCATCATTGAATACAACGTGCTGCTGTGCCCGGCTACTTTCAATGACTTCGGAAGAGCCGGTTTGAAGCTCGACCTTGACCTGCCGGATGATGGGGAGTATATATGGCGCAAGAATGGAGAAGACAAAGATGTTGATCTGCTCCTGAAGCTGTTCAATMAGCTCCGGCAAGACTGGGATCTTTTCAATCGCGCGATTGATTGACTTAATGAGCTCGTCATGCCATTCAAGAACAGGGTAAATCTGCTGCTGCACATCGTCCAAATACCGCGTCCATTCCTCGGGCTCACGGGGACAGGTGTCTTGACTGTGTTGCTTGGCGCCTTGAGACTTGGCTTTGAACTCGTCCATTTTGTTGGCTTGATCGTTGCTATTTCCAATCAGTCCCTCGGGGATCTTGTTGAGCAAGTCCTGTATGAAGCTTTCGGAAGAGGTTCCACTTTGCGACTCATTGATGACCCCTTCAAGAGACTGGACTTCAGATTGAACCGTCTTGTCCGACAGCTCACCCAGTACCGAGTGAAAAAAGTCCACGCCGCCAAAAGTGCCAGTGACAATAGGATAGACGTAACCCCGTGCACCGTCAACTTCAACTTTGGTGTTGCGACCCACATGGGGGAAGACCGTTGATTCTCCCAGTTCAATAAGGCTCAGCTCAATGTAATTGGAATGTGCTGCATAGTCTTCCAAGCAATGGAGGCCAGTGCCAAGCAAACGAAGCGCCTCATGGAGGTCATCATCATTACGTGATCTTGCATATCGCCGTCCCAGCTCAATCGAACGCTTAAAGACTCTGCGGACCAGGCCCGCAGAGGTCCCGATGCCGAGATCCTCACTAGCTATATAGTTTTTCAGGCCTGGATGTAATGGATTTGAGACGTCAGCAGGGCTAAGTTCTTAGTTGGAAAAGGTGTTCCCACCTGTCCTCGGATCGACCGACAGCTCGCGCTCCTCGTCAACAGGGCCTCTCAATCGACGATCATAGCGGCGCGCGTCGTCCCCTTCGGCATAGCCGAGAGGGTTATCGATATGCTCAGTAGGCTCATAGCAACCTAGGCGGTCAGTGGTCACCTCAAATTCTTTGGTTCCGTAGCTGCAAACATTTCGTCAGCAAGTGATCACTATGGCAATGCCTGGAAATGTTGACGGCTTACCCAAAACTAAGAAACCCCAGAACCCATATCAGGACGCGAATAGCTTCGGCACTGACATATTTCAGGGTGCCGACATCCACGGCCTGGCTGTAATCGCGAAGCCAATTTCCAAAATATACGCGCTGCACATCGAGCTTGCCAAATTTACGGCCACCAGCAGCACGGGCCAAGAACAAGGTTAACAATGTATCTTCGATATCGCCATGGCGCCAATTTTGACCCTCGATTTGCGAAATCGATGCGATATTGCCAGCACCAAAGGCGTTGGCTTTTCCTGACAGCAATAACAGGAGCAGAATGGAGAGGGTCAGGCTCTGGACGCTTGACCCCATGGCTGGTGAATCCCTCTTGGTCAAAAAAAAGGGAGCGCCAGAGTTCGGGATTTCGAATAACACTTATGAGCGAATATGCAAAGATAGATCCTGCTATTGTTTAGAATTCCTTCGTAATAAGGATATTCCTCAAGGATAAGAGTTAAAGAGATATTGACTATATTTCACGGGGCCTGCTCTGTACCTGGACAAGGAGGGGAGGGGAACAGGTTCAGAACCCCGCCATAGCCATAGGTTTTGATTCAGGCCTTGGGCGAGAATGGATGAAAGCAGGGAGTGGAGTGTTCGATACTTAATCAGGACTAACAAGCCCTATCACCATGGGAGTCGGCTGGGCACTTGGCGGCATACGATGATAGGACAGGCCCTCAGACTTCATGCTCAGTTGTTCAGTGCTTAACATCTTGGCAGCACCCACAGTTTGATAAATGCCAATGAAATAGCTAATAGTGGGACTTGGGAGCAAACTATTATTGGTTCTTGAGCATGTGGAGGTTGGGACTGCCTAGCAATAGTGGTAGGTAGTAATAATAACCTAGGTGAATAATAACAATAGTAGCTGGCAGTCTTGTGGATAGGTGGTGAACTGGTGATGATATACTCCACTCCATACCTCCGTAGAAACTCCTGCAATTCAACAAGGATCTTGTTATGTAAGGTATTACCTAAGATACAGGTACAAGGCCCAGGAACATACCTAAGGTACCGAGTACTATTGGGGAAAAATACGGTGTACGGAGCGTACCTTAGGTACACTGTAGACTAAGGTACAGGTAAGGTACAGGCCATCCGCATCCGGCGCCCAGGTGACCGTACCTTACACTACCCACCTTAAGGTACCTTAGGTACCTTAAGTACGGAGTCCATACCAGTGGTACTGCAGATACTGTAAAGTATTTATCTAAGAATGTATTCCAGTCTTGCATGTCCCAGATTCCCAGCCACTACGGAGTACTTAATGATCAGCTACACCATCATTTGTATCACAGATATACAGTATGCACAGCCTGGTAGTTATAGCAGGTGACGAAATGTGCTGTTAGTATCTACTCAACCTCTAGAGAGGTATTTCAAGAAATGTGTTCTATCATTCGTCCTATTTCCCGTCGTCTGCCCAGGTAAAGGCACATACCTCACTTAAATAGAGTGAGGAATAAGGTACCATTCACCTTGGTAATCAGAATTATTCAGGGTGTTATCATGTAAGACTGTGCTCTGTACATAGGTACTTCACCGCGGTCGCTGCACAACAGCTAAAGGACATACCAGTCTATGTACCTACAGTAGTGGACAGCTTACGCAGGTGCTCAGAAACCTAGGTACAATGCGACGGTAATTATTCATCCTTTCGCGTGGCTTACAACTTAGGAATAGGCTACTCCATACTAATAGATAAGGAGATACCTTATCGTACCTGACATTCAGCTGTACTGTACGGGGTACTTTGTACGAGTATTATTATACTACCTATCTACATGTTTTCCCAGCCTTGTCTGGGAAACCACTCCTCCGTCTTTCCGGTAAACCCACAGTGTGTCCTGACTCCTAACCACGAGCCTTCTTGGTTCTGTGGCTGAACAGTGCCCGGATGCGCAAATCATTAACTACATATCGACTTTCCGTTCCAGTGCTTCCTCATTATCCAACTGATCATAGACTTTGAGTCTGCACCTCTTGTTTTCAGCTTCACCAACTCTGATTGATGCCAATGGTCTGGGCTGGCCGATCCCACACATAGTCTTACCCCGCTACTCTCTTGGTTCAACTCCGGTAGATATCAGATAATAATTACTACGAGCTTCAAGTATCGGCTTCTTAACACCGGCTTTCCCTTGCCGGACTTGCACTTACTTAGCTATTCGGTGTGCGCTGAGACGACCATGAATTCCTTGTCCTAGCATTGAGCATTATATTGTCTCATGCAGTCCAAGACTGTCGTCAGGGTGCTCTTGTGGAATAGGAAAGGCGATTTATCTGACGTCGCCTTCGTTTGGCACAAGCGAAAGTCACTTTGCTGCAAATAAACTCAATCGATTTGATTCTCTTTGCATACGAATTCTTTCTATGCATATTTGGACATCGCATTTGGAAGCTTAGGTCCTATCACTTCGCCATGATACTACGTTGCCAGTTCACTCTTCGGCCCAACTGAGCGATCTACAAGAATCCCTCCCAATCATCCGATACATGAAGGATTCCAAATCCACACATCTTGTTCCAGGCGCGACCGTCACTCATATCGACAATCCGAATAATCACCCAAGCCCTGGGACCTTACATGATTGAAGTTCCAAAATCATGCCCTTACTCGCAAAGTTACCTCGCAATACCCTATCAACAATGTCGATTGATCTCTCAAGGTCGTCTTTTGAGGAAGAAGGGCTCAAAATATGCACGAATTCTTGGAGACAAGACTGTCGAAGCGACTCTCACACTACAACTGGTGCCAGGAGGACTGTTTCATTGCATGCCCGGTCTATCAGCGGAACACCATGCTTCTCTACGGCGAGCAGCCCAGGCATGGGCAATTCCGAATTGCGTTGCGTTCACCCCATGCGCCAAGTTCCTGGTGCCTCTACACCGCAATTAAGTCAGTCCTGTCAAACATCTCTCGTGGAAAAGGAGGGAGTTGAAGGACGAGCCTCAGCTGAGCCAGGACGGTCCGCTCAGACAGAATCTGATCCACTTCGATCTTCTGTTCGTGGATTTGCTACACAGACAGCGCGACATTCGTTGCAGATGCATGATAGTTCGTTCACAAGGATTCCTAGTATATCACAAACGAATTTGACCGGACGCACATCTTTTGGCTATTCACGAGACAACAGCAGCTCCCTTGAAGCAGCATCACCAGCTTCAAGGTCATCTTTAGATTTCGTGTTCCGATCAAAGACACGGACAAGCATGGATCCTATATCTCGTGCCGCCACAATTCAAGCAGCACGTCAAGCGTTTGAGGAGAAAGAAGCAGCCAAAGCACGCAAGCTTGAAGAACAGCAACTGCGGGCTGAAGAGAAACAAAGGAGACGCAAGGGAAAAGAAGACTGGCGCACATCACTTACAATTGCAAACAAGCAGGAACCCAAGAATCGGCTATCTGAGAAGTCGAGTGTCACTGAAGAACTGGATTCTCCCACGGATCAACCACAGCGAAAGTCCACTTCAGGTTCTTGGAGATCGGAATCCAAGACGACTTGGATGTTATTTTTGACATGGTTACGGACTAGGGTCTTCAAGATGCGCAGGAAGTTCCAAAGTTTGGGCTGATACTATCTAATGTCCCAATCATAGTGCAGCCGTGATATGGGATTCAGTTTCAGCGAAGGCTKGCCTTGATAAGAGTCCATTTAGCGTGCCTACAGTCGAGGATAACCCGCTTAGTTGGGTCATTTGTGCGATCTTCAATGATTGTATGAGACTATCATGAGTTGAAACTTGTTCAAATAATTTGTCTTGCTACCTGCCACGGGTCGTATTCTTGATGATAAAGGTTAGTAAGTAGTGGTCTCGTCGTAAGGCTAGCATGAAGGCGGCCGATCACGTGAGAGGTACCGTAAAATTGCGCAGAAGCAGCCTCTGCGCAGCCAGACTTTTGGATTACTCTACGGCGTGCCAGATAGCTCGACATACTACAGCGGCAGCTAGACTACGGTCTGCAGGAGCGACAACAGGCGCCTTTCTTGTTCCATTGTCCTATCGGCTCCCATTATCACTCTTCTTGATATCAGATCCCCTTCCTGAGACGCACCTCCACTGGGGGGGCGCGTCTCTCCAAAACTTTCATCATGGTGTACGATTGGGAGGGCAAGAGAGAAATATGCTATCAGATGTACATCAAAGATAAAAAAGCACTGGAGGAAATTATGGAATACATGCGAAATGTATATCAATTCTCACCCAGGTATGCACATAGTCATTAAGGCAATGTTTCTTCGTCGTCCATTCTTGGAGACGTAGGATTCGATTACATTTCTCATTCACATTTGGCTAAGACATACATCCAACAGTAAGCGCGCCTTTCAGACCCAGTTTAAGCGATGGGGCTTTCCTTCCAAACAGAATCCGGCCCACAAAAATGCAGAGCTTGTCGCTCGCGTCAAACAACTTTGGGAGCGAAATACAAGCCAACGGGACATGCTGCGTGTCTTGAATGAAGAAGGCTTTGAGATTAAAGAAAGAGAATTGATGCGAGTGCGCGCGAAGAATCGCTGGCTACTCCGTGTTCCCAATGGAATGAAGTCGCAAGCCACACTCCGGCCATCTGTGCAGCTACCAGAAGACGAGGGACTACTGGCACTCCAACAGGAAGTATACAAGACCGGGGAACCCTTCTACGACGCTCAGAATCTTCCTGCCGATTCACCGGTCATGCGGCCTCCGTCGCCTAGCTTATCAGCTGATGTGCTCGCAAAGCGCCAAGAGAGACTTGAACGCTTGAAAGCAGAGAGTGCTGAACGTTGGGCTTCCCGGAAACGGCGTCGGCGCACTAGGGAATGGGCTGGACTACCAGCCGACCCGCCTGGGCCACCTCGCTTTCCTTCTGAGACCACAATCGACGAGAGTAAGAAATACCTGAGCCTAGATAATGCTATCTACCGTCAAATAAGAGATCATTTTCAAAGGATATGTGAAGAGGCAGGGTTCATCAAGAAGACTGTTGCTGGACCTGAAAGATGGCAGGAGGCAAAAAACAGACTAATACAAGAGTCTGAACATCTTCAGCGGGTGTTCTGGGAAGATCCCAATCAGCTTGATGCCAAAGCCCTCGCTCTCGATGTCGTTTGTACAGATGTCACTAAACGGATGAGGACATTAGAAAGGCGAATGACAATCGCGGAAGCTAAAAACGCCCTTGGGATCAATCCTGAAGAAAGCCGCCAGATTCGAAACGCGTTTTACAATACATTAAAAGCGGCTCATTTTACCAGCAAGTTAGAGGCTGGTGACGAGCATTGGAAGCAACTGAAGGAGAGTTGGATTCAAGACACTGAATTGCTGCAACGCATCCTTGCCCCTGGCTCGGCAGATCCGGAGCATGGTACGAAATTGAAGGCTCTGGAAGTCCTCTGTCGCGATGTTATGAAGCGACTTCGTGATGACCAAACCAAACGAGATCCCTCTCGGAAAAAGTCTATCACTCGCACCAATATTTCGAGTCCAGACGCTGCCGGCACCAATGACAATAGTGCATTCGGCAGCATTACTAATGGAATCAGCACGCTTGCTTCGCAAGCTCTCGCCAGCGCCCCGATGACATCGGGCGACTTAAATGATATGCAAATAGATCCCTCGCTTCTGCAAGCGGCAAATGATACCTCGTTTGCCTCAGCATCTCATGATACTGGGAATTCTTTTGGATATGTGGACCCTATTCTAGATTCAACTTCGCTGCAAGTGCCGATCTATGTGCGAATCTATCCTCCAGACCAGGTTCACGAGGAGTCGAAGACCAGCGTCGAGAAACTAACGACAAAATCCGTCGCTGACTTACGCCAGCTAGTTGTTTCTAGGTATCCTGGTTCCATCGTTACCAAGATTCAGGGCATCGATCAGGATGAGCATGGAAACGAAGTTACATCCAACATCCATGACGATAATGAACTCGACGCTTATTTAACGCATGTACATGGGCGGAGAGCATACTTTGTCTGTCGCCTAGCCTATCCCTAAAGGCATCCACATGTGTATCCAATACACAACAGACGACGGGTCGATCGGTTGCTCGGCTTCAAGTCGGGAACTATTTGTTACGCAATTGTGCCCTGCTTTACCCTGCCTCGACGATCTGGAAAGTGGCCACATGCTATCTTGCTTGGAATAGGAAATCTTCGCTATGAGCTGATGTTTGCCTTTCAAACTTGTGGTTGAGTGACGTCAATTGAGATTACCCATGGGGTTTGCGTAATGGGATCAAGTTGCACGGAGCCTTGGATGTCCGACCTGTCTACAATTTATGTGCACGATGAATTATGACTGATATATGTGATGCGCCTATGCAGACCACCAAGGAAAATTGTATAAAGACACCTCAAGAGTCAATAATGGCAACAAGGACAGCAAATAGACCCCCAAAAGAAAGTCATCCGTGCCGTATTGACAAATAAAGTACATTGCTTCTGGTTGCTTCTGGTCTGCTCATTCAAGTTGTAAGATTTTGCACCAGACTTTTGAAAAGAACACTAGTGGGAGGCAATACAAATGGGGGAGTATCAGTAAAGACCCCGGGTAGCCCAGATGACTGCGGAGATGAAAAGCTTCCGCTGACTGGAAGAGGCAGCGCTTGAAGATTATTACGCCTACTCATGTCGCGAGAAATTGTTCCAAATAAGCTCCCAAGCCCGTGATTGTGAGAAGTCCCGTCCTTGGATTGCGGTATTGACTGGGGAGCTTTATCTGAACAACTGAGGCGTTGCACATTGGCCATGGCATCAATGATGATGTAATGCCCAGTGAGTGGATCTGAGAGTAGGGATACCGGACAATGCTTCAAAGATTGTCGAGTAAGCAGGGACAACGTCTGCACATCATAGACTCGTATATCGAACTGAGATCCGCATGTTCTTCTCGCTCCAGCCAGATGTTGTGGGACTTTTGAGGCAACAGCACAGGTTTGCGACTTTGAGCTCACTGCCAGAAGTTGATCGTCACAGGGAGTGTTATCCTGAACGGCTGATAAACTGGTCGTTCTGACTATATCGCCAACTGTATCCCAAATATGTGCCGAATGCAGGGACAGAACAACAAGATAGCGTCCCAAGAATCTGGCTGCACACGGACGACCCGAGTAGACCCCTACCCTACTGTGATGAATTTTGCAATTCTGCATATCCACTAGGATGACGAGGCCGGAGTCCGGACTGGACCTGGTTTGCACACAAATAGCAAGCACCGACCCGTCCTCAGAAAAGCTCATACAGGCTGCATTTGCAGGCTCAGTTCCACCACCAATAAATTCGCCCTTTAGGTCGATAGTACCTCGGCATTTCCAGGTCTGATCTTGGTGTTCTGGATGTTTGGTTGCTAATCCCAGGCGGGGCCTGTTACTCGCGCACCAGAAGCGGAGCACGGCATCACAGCCTACTGTTGCAAATTCATGATTGTATGGTCTGGACGCGAGACCCAGAATAGGCACCGAAACGCTATCGAAGGAGTGAGGGCTGTTGATACGTGTGGCTAACTCCCACATATTCGACACTTCGCTCCATCTCCAAAACTTGAGGTATGTTTCCCGGGAAAGCGTATGGCTGCCTGTCGGAGTACTATTTGGTTCAAGAGCCCTGATATCTTCAGGGCGCGGTATCCAGTCATCGATCGTCGCCATCCACTTTCCATCCTGGCATATGTCAAGGTAACTGACGTCCGGGGCCACAATTTCGGTCCCCTCTGGACTGATCCTCAAAGTCGTGGCATTTGTCCGTGCAAGAGCTTGTCTGGATATTTGAGAGTCGGTGCGGATATCATATGTCTGTAGCACGCACGAACTGGTTATAGAATGATAATCCCGTGCGGCATGGCGCGAAGCCGGTACCGCCACTAGAAGCCGATCATGGAATTGTGGGTGCAATACAGCTGCAGAAGGTCGAAGTGAGATGCGCGACTCTGGCAGAGCTGCATCGGCAGGCTTGTCGACTTTGGGGCAAAGTTGCAGGCCAGTGATAGTAACATAAGGCTGCAGCTCTGTCGCGGACAGCACAATGATACAGTTGTCAGCAAGCTTGAGGATGTATGCTTTCCCAGTTGTAGAAACGACTAGGTTGCAAATGGGTGAAGAGAGATGAGGTAAAAACTGCTTGCGACCAGTGTCTAACTGCCATAGTACCATGACTGACTCATCTCCGCCTGAGATTATGTAGTTACCTGAATCCTGTTAACGGGGCTGCCTCATTACTTGTACTGGCTAAGGTACATACCATCCTTTGACCAACGGACTGCATTGACGGGACCTCTATGCCAATGCAGCCGTCGAGGAGCCGGACCCTTGTTATCGTCCGAGTCAATACCACCAGTAGGGAAAAGAGCAAGAAAGTCAGGATAGACTAAAATCGAGCCCCCAGATTCACCCAAAACGAGGTCCACGGTATCTAGGTTACCGTCTTGTGAGCCCTGGGGTATTGTTCGATTTCGTGCTCTGCTCTCTCGAACATCAATGCAAGTGACACGAACAGGTAGAACGACCTCCCTCCAGGCGTACTGGATAGTTGACGGGTCTGGTGTGTTCAATTCCCTGGTGCCAAGCAGAAGGCGCTGACCAGCCCATGCGATTATCGCTTGTCCCTGTCTGAAAACCCTGAAATTGTCTATTCGTTGGGTCGTTTCAAAGACAACAATGTCGCGTGGTGTTTCACCATTGAATAAGGTGACTGTAAGTTGTCTCTTTCCATCCTTGCGCCCTCGCAAAGAAAACAGAAGTTCGTACCTTAATTTCCCGACCTCGGAAGGGCATAATTCAGCTAGGAGTGTCTCTCGGGCAAAATCCCAAGAAGTAATTTCATGTCCAGAAAGCCAATCCCACTTGCTCACACAACCAGTTGAAGTGATGATATAAAGATGTTGCGGATTTTCGGAGCAGAGATTGTAACCGACGACTTTTTGACCATCCTTTAAGTGTAACGTACGAGACCGGTGAGAAGTCCCAATCGAGTGAACATGAATTGCTGTCTCAGTCCCGGCAAGAAGATACCTAAAAACAGAATCACTTAGAGCTCTCGCTATAATAAATAAGCCTTCGCATTAACTCTAGAGGTAACTCACTCTTCATCCGAAGTGATAATTGGGTTGAGGTTGCTATACTGCCCACCGACTGGACTTGAAAGACCCCAAATTTCGCGGGAGAATTTCGTCTGCTGCTCACGCGCGTGCGCAGAAGTATCTTGTGCGAGAGAAATGGCATTCCGAGTGCTTTTCTCACTCGTCTTTCCTTTAGCAGCTAGTTGTACGTCTTCAGTAACATCAAGTGCGCCCTTGGAAAATCGACGACGCTTTATTCTATCCTTCTCGGTGCGCAGGGCATCGCTAGTCCTGGATCTTTTTGAATGTCCTGTTGCAAGGCTCGAACCTGACATTGTAAGGGAAATCAGGTAAGATGATGTCCAGGATATCAAATTCAAATCGAGGCGGCTTAGTTCAGACAGTTCCAATGATTCTCAGAAACGCCGTGAGGTAGTTAGATATACGAAGAGTCATGGTACTCTTGTAGGCTTGCTTTTTTTTCTTTTCTCTTTCGAAACTTTTTGGGTCCCACCATGATCTCTTCGATTTTAGGACTAGTATATATAAGGTTAGCCAATTTCCTAAACAGTAGCTATGTGGGGAAACACTGCAAAATTATATATCCGCATTTCTAGTACCCTTCAGGATATTCGTTCATTCTTTCTGTTCAGTCTCTGCAAGTATCATAACAGGATCCAATAAGGCAATACCATTTTTGTTCTACGTTGTGTCCAATATTGACCTTATATCTTCTGCATCTTTCTTGATCTTCTCAAAAAGCTCATTAGAGTATAATTTGAGCCAATGATTATCCCTGTTCGTTGCTTTTCTTGTGGCAAGGTAAACTTGATCCTTTTAAACAAGCTGCTTGCTGTCGCTCATAGATTTCTAAACAGGTTGTCGGTGATCTCTGGGAACGTTATTTACAGCTTCTTGATGAGGGTATTCCTGACGGGTAAGTTTGACACTCCATTTATCCTATCTATCGTTCAAATTCAATTGTTTTGCTAATACATTTTGTAAAGTGATGCTATGGATCAGCTTGGTTGCAAGAGGTACTGTTGCCGCAGAATGATCATGACACACGTCGATCTCATTGAAAAGCTTTTGCGGTGCGTATATATGACCCTGACTTCGCACGCAGCTAAGCTTATACTCCCCTAATAGGTACAATCCTGCTGAAAGAGATCGGGCGAAATCTCAAATATGATATTTTCTGTCTTCTGGCTGTGGGATCTATTGTGCCTACACACTCTCAATATCTCCAATCTCGCTCTCCCTGGCCAACTTGACAGAAAGACCGGGTTATGCCCATAGTGCGAGACCTTGCGCACAGTGCAAGCCCTTGCTAGTCCCGTTTCGGTGGCAGTACCGACCTTTCCCCTCCTCGTCGCTTTAATGCTATCATGCCTCTCGATTACCATAAGGGACACGCCTACTTCTGAGTCCAAACAGATAGTATCCGAAAAGGCAAGGTATAGGAGAGGTAAAGTGTAACCTTTTCCTCCCTCCGTCTGCTGGCATCGATCACATTTCCTCACTTCTCTGGTTCTGTGCTACTTTGTCTGTCGATCATGTGGATAATCTGAATTGTAAGAGCTCAGCATCTCAGATGAGTCTTGTTTGAGTCGCTTTCATGCTTTCATGCTGCCAGCCTTGAAGCGTTTAGTTCATTTCGGGCGATCTGTCGTATTCCTTGCGTTCGAGGTGCTCTTTGGATGCTAGATCGGCTTCATTTTGACTCTGAAATGAGGATGACTCAAGCTTGAACAGCGCAGCGGTTTAGATATGCGCTTTTATCCGGGAGAACATCAGGATGCGCAGGCCACTTTGTTATAGGTATGCGATTGACCTAGCTATATTTTGATTGCAGCCAACTTTACAACCTGTTATAAGTATGAACTGTCTGCCACCAGTCTCAATCTTGGCCTAGGAATGAAAATTGGTCTGTCTTATCATCAGCTGCGATGCAGCAGCCCTAAAGCTTCTCTATATCATGTATGTGACTACAGTTGATACCAGTATATTCGGGCATTTTTGATCTGAATTCCGTATTCTACGGATGCCGCAAAGAAGAGGTAGCAAAGCCCTTGCTCCTATTGCTTGATAGCTGAAATATATGTACTCACTACGATGGAATCCTTATGCTTGGATTGAGACTGGCAATTATAATAATTGTCAGAAATTATTTGCACTAACGGATGCCATGTAAGATTAAGTAGTAATGACCCTTCAGTATACCTGTATGTCCACAAAAAATACCTTAGCATTTTGAACCAATGACAAGGAGATTATTACTGTAAATTTCCCAATGCCTACCTAGCATTCACGAAGTATCAAAGAAAGTCACAGATATGTCTCTTTACCATAAAAGAATGTCTGAGCTAACCTGACAGCCACTCATACTTTAAATACTTTAAATGCTTAAGATACCTACCTCACTCATTATCAGATATCTATTTACTACAAAGTAGATAGGTATGCACTACATCCTCGAAATTTTTGTCTTAAAGGAGATAGAGGTATACTACACTTACGCAATATATTACAGTTTGCTTAACAGGGACCTGCTGTTCTCGTGGGGTGAACATTGAATAATGACAGCTAGCTTTTAACTCACTTTTGGTCTGGACTCTAATGGAACAAGTACCTATAGACGCCCGACTGCTTCGTACCAAAGCGGGGAGATTCTTTACACAGCACAGCCTGTCCAAGATCAGATGTACATATTATCAGAAGCTAAGCCAAAAATGGCCATACCATGCTCTTTGCTGTTGCAGTCAAAAGAGGAACACTATTGGGCTGAGGTTGACTGTACAAACTGCACCCCATTATAGCCGATTGGCAGATTCAAAGAATATTGGACGCAAGCCCAGTGGCTCCTTCAGGATGTAAGGACCTGAGAAGGTCTCCGTCGAGTGACCTTGTATTCGCTAACAAGTTACGCACCAGGTCCGTTGATGATCGCCCTGCCAAACATGGCCTTGAGACCATGGACATATTGGACACTTCACTAACAATTCCATCACACGAACAGACGGACACTGTAGAGCACAATGGCACTGGCATCTATGACTCGGAAAAACCACTTGCATCTAAAATCACTAAACCCGAGCAGCGAATATCTCACAGCAATCAGACCGAACTCAGGGTATGTATTTTTTGCGCATGACAGTTGATAGTCGTGGTTGACCTCCATCAAAATATAGGTACAAACAAAACAGACTTCCCTTGCCGGTCCCGGGCCACGAGCGAACGATGATGATGCTCCACAGTCTGTGATACATGCACCTCCCGGCTTTCGCCAATTTGTAAGGATCATGTTAGACGATCTGTGGGCTGTTTAACTAGTTGCTAAAGCCGTATCTTTTCTAGAAGTTTGGCACCTACGACGACTCCGACAGCTTGATCAACCCAGTTATGGCATCATCGCACAGCAACTTGGCCAAGATGATAACACCATCGATGGTTCGAGACGACGAATTAGGAAAGGTGCTTTGTCGCTCCCTCGCTCCCAATCCCCGAACTAGCAGCGACTGACTTCGTTGTAGAAGCCTTCTATATCACCGTCTCCTTTAACCACTTCTATTGAACCTGCGAAAGATTGGTCAGAGCGAGCAACTCCTCGAGCACAAACAAGGCAGGATTTCGAAAACATTGACCTCCAGTCTCAGCCGAGTGTTCTTGCCGGCGAAATCTCGCCTCTTAAACAACATACATCCACGGGCTCTACATTCTATGAGCCGAGCATTTTTGTGCATCCGAATATACCTCCATTTCAAGCTAAAGGTGGCTCTACCGCAGTAGATGGGGGGTCAAGCACACTAGAAGCCGCCGTTCGGCATCTTTTTGATGGTGAAGCTGAGATCAAAGCACTCAAAACAGCGCTCGCGGAATGCTGGACGCTCTGTAATACATTAGCCAGACTGAGCTATATCCATCGCGGGCGTACTGCGGACAATGCTGGCACTGGCCGCATCGAAGAAAATGCATGGACATCATGCTGGAAGCTGTGTCAGAAGTTATATGAGAGTCAGAAAGATGAGTATGTATCGCAGGTCAAGCCGACGTTAGACCTGTGTCGTGAATTTTGCCAGACTTTATTTGACATCCGCATCCGTGACAACGAGCTTGCAGATTCAGTGCTTCGGGTCAGTTTTGAATTAAATAATCATCTTTACAACACGCATGATCGGCATCTACCAGACGCTTTCAGGGAAAGGACGCTGGACTTCTATATCACCCTTTGTCACCGTCTCATGAAACAGAGGACCCGTGTCTCGGAGACCGACTCCCTTTTGAAGGCTTCTTGGTCTCTGGCGGAGATGCTGTTCACAATCCGCCAAGGTAAAAGGGAGGGGAGGCCGATAAACGAAGAAATGCTTGCTTCGACTGTGCAAGCTTGCTGGGAACTGTGTGATCTTTTTCGTGAGGGATGGACACAACGTAGCTTGCGTTACTCTGACCGTGGAACGCCACGACCGAGTCAGGCCACCTTCACCCATGGCATGCAGCAGGCCGACCAACACGGAATCGCTGCTACCGATGAAGGGCTGCGCCAGCGAGGTAATCCCGAAACTCCTACAACTATTTTCGATGAGACCGCCACTATTTCACCGGACGACGCCCCAGTTCAGAACATTTTTGTGTTGGGAAAAGATGCCGATCAATCTGTGCAGGCAAGGTGGTCCTCAAGCTTGTCAACAGTCTCAGATATCAGCCAATCTTCTGGGCAAACATCTTCAACAAATACTATAAGAACGTCGCCAAACGATACGACCATGGCATGTATACAAGCTTTACTGGCCAAGGCCGCGGTCGATAGCGGATATCAGCCGGAAAAATCACAGAGCCTGTCAAGCTTTGTAAAGACGCTTTCATCGGACGCGTTTGGATCGGCACCGTGGCAAATGTCACTTCTGAGGAGTTATAAGAGTCTTCTGGCACTTGACCCAGTATTCCACAATATTGACCTCCAACCGCACTCGAATGCTGCGGATATAGCAAGGGCTGTCCAAGTGACAACACAGGGCAGTCAATATCCTTGGCTGCGGGATCTCTATCGACTGGTATTTGGCGTTCATGTGGATGATGTCGCCAGCCATCAGGGGATTGCACTTCAGGCATAATGCATCTCTTGGCGAGGATAACGTCAGGATTTCCCTTTTGTGGATACTTGTAACTCTCGCTTGATATGTCTATCTCAGTCACCATTATGATATTGTATATTGTTCGCTGATTATGTCKATACTATGGTTAGAAATTCCAATTTCCAGGAATAAGTACGGTAAAGCCTTATCCGGACGGGGTCCCTCTGTTCCCCCTCTATTCTTCTCCCCGACATAACTCGAGTGACTGTCTTGCTCGAGGGCCTGCTTCTTATACTCTGCTCGTTGGACCGACAGGCCGGTGGGCTCGCGATACAGCCTTCTTATCGATCGCAGCGAGAAAAGGTGTTTACCTGCCTGGTATTTACGCTCATGTTGGTACTGTTAGCATTTACTCATTGCATGGCATTGTGAGCTGTGCTGAACTCTACCAGAAATCATTTTTCTGTTTTGAATCTTTGGCAAATATTCATTGGCACTGGGAGCCGCAACTCTAACTACCAGGTATTTGTCCGAGATTTATGCTGAAGTCAAGCCGAAGAATCTCAAGGCTTCGACGGAGGAACTCGAGTCCCTACCCAGTATGTTCAGCAGTCGGTCCTGAAGACCTTCATGCGCTGTTTCCATTCCTTCATTCTTTCCTCCCCTTTGTGAGGCAATATACTTCATTGCAACATACTGGGTACATACTGCAATGACGATTTCATTTCATGCCTCCTGCGATAAACTAATGGCCAATGGTGTGTATTATCTGTGGCTGGTGAAGCCACTGACTACTATCTGACAAGCTTTTACAGTTGTGAGATCTGATTCTCCAAGGAACGTAATGTTCTTCGCATGATTACAATTCTCTGGTGATACACAGTTTACTGAGCAGTGCCAGGATAATATAAATCATGGTGTATGCAGAATGTTGATTTAATTGTACATCCAGATGTACAGTCGATATATTCTAAGCGTGAAGCATCAATAATCTGACGATGAGCACATAGGATCTAGTGATAGTCAGAACATGCACATCAAATGGCGTAAAAGTATTTCGCACAATCCTATAGTTTCACTAATGTAGGGTCTGACATGGTAAATTTACTAGCATTATGCCTCCTCCTATGATATTTCCCGTGGCATTTTCTATCCATGACAAAAGACCGTCTGATACCATGTGGGAGAAGCACATGCAAAGGGGTATCCAAAAGCTCGGCAAAGTTCACAAGTTATGTCTGGCTAATCAATATGTAGAATGATCTCATCTATGGTAGAGGTAAGGTTATCATGGAAATGGAAATGGAAATGCCAATAGTCAGCCTACAATCTACAGTTCTACACTTAGCCCAGCAAAGATGTAGGCAGACATTTGTCACCTCTCATGATAATACTCTATACACAAGTAAAGGGCATGACTTCGGTCAGAGGCTATGGTGAGTTGAAGGGCACAGACATCCCCATCAGCTCGGGTAACGCGGGGTAGTAAAGAAATGTTTAGCTGCTAACACATATAGTCATTCTCTTGTCTTCTCTTTTATCGATTCGCTGAAAGTCCCTTTATCTCATTTTTCCCTACCTTCCTGATTTTGAACAAAGAAGAAAACAAATTTATATTGGCCCTATCGATCCCACTCAAAATCTCAAGGTCGACTTTTTAGCCACATACGCAACGCGGGAGCACTTCATGCTAATCACAGCAGTAATGACAGGGCATCCACATCCCACAGGTGTCATAGGGGCCAAAAACAACTGAACCACGCTCGATCATGTATGAGAAAACTGAATCCGGCAAAGTTGGCGGGATTTAGTGTCAAGAACTCGGCATACTTTCCAAGGAATGTATAGAAGCACAAGCTTAAGAAAGGTAAGAAACTTAAAAAGCAAATTGGTTACCCTAGATAGGGATTTACTTAAGCATGATTCATTAATAAAGCCACATTGCTTCTCTTTATTTTCCATGCTTGTGTTTAGGAAGCTAGTCTGTTCTGGGGAGGCCATGCAGAGTACTAAAGTAGCTATATGGACCTGCCCAAGCACCAAATTAATAATACTATACAACCGCACAACCAGTATCATGTACAACCTGTGCCAATAGGGTTATTTGTACCTTATCAAAACTCCTTAAGATGCAGGTACCTCTCAACCAGGTAGGTACTCCGTATGTTTTACTGACGAGTGGTACTCCGTAGTGAGTAATGACCGAGGAAGGAATCGGGATGAACTGCGCTAAACTGACAGCCAAGACGTTATGTGGCTTGCGGTATCCACCTAGTATCCACACCAGTGCAACATAAAATATCTGTTCCTGATGTTACAGTATGAAAAGGATAGGTTGGTTTGCAGGCAACAGGTACGAACCACAGAATGTTCAATCTAAGACTCTGCAAGAAAGTACCTAATAGACACAATACAAGCCCAATATTGGCATATTATCTTATCTGGTTTTGGATGAGAGAATCTGATAATTCACACAAGAAAAATATAAAAGATGAACCTGTAGAGTATGATAGGATTTTACCTAGGGCTGTACATACAGGCCATGAGATTCGCGCAATATCCCCATGTGAAAATCCAAGAAAGAACCAAGGCACATTGAGGCGCCTTGTTGAATTCCGCCTTTTAGATTTATTCTCATCTCTTAACCTAGTTTCTTTGTCTCTCTTTGGTGTCTCTGATTCCGATTGTGGATACAGTAAACTAGACCTTATGTATGATAAACCTCTTGGCGCTGCTGTTTTAATTATTCAGAGATAATATGATTGCTCAAGTAGCTGGGAACTTTGGTTTTGATTATTATGACTTGTTCCTGTAGAAGTGAAAACTTCCATGGGTCAAGGTGACTACCCCTACCTAGGTACCTTGGTTTCAGCCTGAGCCCGCTGCTTGTCAAGTCTTCCGATGTGTTAAGCCAATGGTAAACTTAAAACAATAAGCTAAAGCTTTACTCCGTGCACTAGCCCCAGGAGATCTGCGTCTCTACTACCCCCATGTTCCCAATGAAATATCTACCCTGGTTGCTTCCACCATATTGATGGCTACCCTTTTCTCAATGCGGATTAGCGGCGAGTTCAGGCTGACCATTCCGGCTACTTCTTGCATACGGGAGGTGAAAATTTTGGCTGCTACGTAATATGTTCCCCACCACCTCGAAACCTTGCTAAAAGCGACTGGAAAAGAAAGGGAAAATTCATGAGTTAGAGGAATTCTCTCCAGTTCACAGATCAGCCACGGGTGCTCTTGAGACTTGCGAGATTACTGTGGAGTCTCGGGTCAGTTATGACTCCACACATTTTTTCCCATATTCTGGGGGTGGTGCGTGGGGAAGTATATAAACATGAGCTTCTTCCTCACATGTATCGACCTACCTACCCTCCTGCTTAGATCAAGCCATTTTTCTCCCGAGCAGGACCTTGCGCAGTGCTGCAGTTGAAAACTTCCCTTGTTCAAGAGCATCGCTTCTGTCTACTAGGTGCTTACCACCTAGAAAGATCACCATGGCTGCCCCGAAGTTCGCTGGTATGACCGGCAACCTGCTTATGCGAGCAGTGACAGCCGTAGCTACCATGGGCTTCTTGCTCTTCGGTTACGATCGTATGTTGATAGAACGCTTGGAATCGAGTCGCCTCTTTGGTCCCCAGCTGATTACTTTAAACAGAAGGTGTTATGAGCGGCATCATCGATGCTCAACCTTTCAATGATGTATTTACGGCGACTAGAGATAATTCGACTATGCAAGGCACAGTAACTGCCATTTACGAAATAGGTATGTTTGACACCCGAAAGAATGAAACATGATCTTTTACTGATGCTCTCTTCAGGATGTCTCGCTGGTGCTGTCTTTGTACTGGGTGCTGGGGACTGGCTGGGGCGCCGGAAGACGATCATGGCGGGTGCAACTGTGATGATCGTTGGCGTCATCATTCAAGTAACTTCGTATCCGGGACATGTCCCTCTCGCACAGTTTATCGTTGGGCGAGTTATTACTGGCATTGGAAATGGGATGAACACATCAACAATTCCAACGTACCAAGCTGAGTGCTCAAGGACCTCCAACAGAGGATTGCTTATCTGCATAGAAGGTGCTACTATCGCATTTGGTACGCTTATAGCCTATTGGATCGACTTTGGTGCATCTTATGGCTCGCCTGATCTTACATGGCGTTTCCCCATTGCATTCCAAATAGTCTTCGGTCTTTTCATTGTCTTTGGAATGATGGTTCTGCCTGAGTCTCCCCGCTGGCTGTTCACTCGCGAACGATATGAGGAGGGCGAAACTGTTATTGCTGCACTTATGGGCAAAGAGATATCCCACCATGATGTACGACTCCAGAAAAGCATCATTCTTGACTCGATTAGAGCGTAAGTCATATTCCGGCGGTGCACCTATGGAGCCTGAGGCTGACTTTTCGACAGTTCAGGTCAAGCGGGAAAGACCACCCCCTTGTCTGCTGTCTTCACCGGCGGGAAGACTCAGCATTTCCGACGAATGCTTTTAGGGTCCTCCTCCCAATTTTTTCAGCAAATTGGCGGCTGCAATGCAGTCATCTATTACCTGCCAGTGCTTTTCAAGAACTCACTGAACCAGACACCGTTTATGTCTATGATACTGGGAGGCGTCAATATGATCGTCTACTCAATCTTCGCTACATTGTCGTGGTTTCTGATTGAGAGAGTTGGAAGACGCAAGCTCTTCCTGTGGGGCACAGTTGGCCAGTGCCTCTCAATGGTCCTCACTTTTGCTTGTTTGATTCCAGGCACTCCATCTGCTGCAAAGGGAGCTGCAGTAGGTCTCTTCACATACATTGCGTAAGTACTTGTCGCCCTTTTGCGCCTATTCACTTCACCCATTTTAGGCCAGGATTCTGATATTGGGTCGTATGTTGATCGTCTTCAGGTCTTTTGGTGCCACTTGGCTGCCCTTGCCTTGGTTATACCCTGCCGAAATCTCCCCTATCAAGACGAGAGCAAAGGCTAATGCTATCTCAACATGCACAAATTGGCTTTTCAATTTTCTCATCGTCATGGTGACTCCCATC